GGAGTGGGTTGTTTCCGTAGGTGGATTTTTGACACGGGTCTTGCCCGTGTTGAGATTGCGCTGGAACCCCCATTCCCTATACTACTGAGCGTGACACTCGAAAATGGCATCTCAACCAAAGCGAGCGAGAGCCTTTAATTTTGATATTGACAGAGAGGAAGTGCTTTCTCTTATCATGGATGATGCCCTTAGTGGTGATAGCAGCTGTGGAGGGATTTCTAGTTCAGAAGAATCGGGTTTGAACTGAGAAATACTCGCTGAAAGTGAAGAATCGAGGTGAGTGAAAACTGTCACAAAGCGTGTTTACGAATGATCACATTTAAATTCATGTAAAACCTAAAAAAAATCACATTTATAACACCACATAGACAACCAGAACAGTGTTTTTGCCACAGTCATATACTTATTCATAAATTTCTGACAATCTCTTGCCATAGAATTAATTTTTTTACGAATAACATTTCCGTTGAAGCGGTTAGCACTTCTTTGGCAAATCGGTTTGCACGACAATTTAGATGCTGTTTTTTAAATTTGATTTTTTCGTGGCTTAGACTCTGCTCGTTTTATACATTGTATGCCAAATCTCATCTAGAATCTCTTTGACTTTTCAGCTTTTAATTTTGATTGAATTTCATAAGAAAAGATTAGAAATTTTAAAATATTTTGTTTTATCAAATGCTTTTGAAGAACTTGATCAATGCACATCTTTTACTTTTCACAATCTGGTGTTATTTTCCTTTTCTTTATTGATTTTTCTATTTATCATCTTTTCTAAGCAGTCTATTAGACCATAAAATATAAAGTTAAATAACTTATTTTATTGAAAATAAGTTGAACTAATACTTTACTGTTGAATTTTCAACAGTAATGATCATGAGGAGGAACATCAGGAGACCAATTCACCACCAACAGACTCAGATCCCTCATCAGGTGAGGAAAGTGATCCAGACTTCAATGTTCCCCTTTCTGCTGTGCATTCTTGTAGACCTGTTAGATCTGGTGCTGTTGGACAAGCCGATGCTGTTAGACTAGCTGGTGTTGTTAGACGAGCCAGTGCTGTTGGAAGAGCTAGTGCTGTTGGTAGAGGAGTTGTTGTTGGCAGGCCCCATGGTGCTGATAGAAGAGTTGGTGTTGGCGGGGTTCGTGATCAAAAAAATGTCGGGAGAGGTGCTGTTGGAGTCCAGAATGCTGCTCAACAAGGGGAAAAAAGCTATAACCACCCAGATACTAGCAATATATTACCACCCTTTGCACCTAGACGGCCACCTGGCTTACACTCAGACCAGCCATATTTGAGAAACACTTTAACCACAGCCATTGAATTTTTCCATTGGTGAGAGATTTGTACCAGCTTGGGATGCCATGTACTGGTACCATGAGAAAGTCGAAGAGAATTCCCAGTAGTTCTCAAAAATGGGAAGACTTGGGCAAGGGGAAGAGATCGTGGAAGCATGAGGTGGGACAGGACCCCACCTGTTCTTACCCTGCAGTGGAAGGACAACAAGGTTGTTTCCCTCTTGACAACCATTGGTAATGCCAATGAAATATGTCAGGTGACGAGAAAGGTCAAGACTGGAAATGTCTGGAGGCAGATCAATGTCCAACAATCAGCAGCAATCAAGCAGTATAACTCGTACATGAATGCTGTTGATCGCTCTGACCAGATCTTGGCCAACAACAACTGTCTCGGAAAGTGTGTGCGTTGGTGGAAGACTCTCTTCTTTCATCTAATTGACATAGCTATTGTCAACAGCTATATTCTATTTAGGGAGCATAGAGCCAACAACCCCAATGTCGAAGCCCTTCGGAGACCAAAGTCCTACTCAATCCTTGATTATAAGGAAGAACTTGTCAGACAACTAGCTGGTATTGGTGATGATGATCCTCTCCCAACTAGCGGCAAGGTCAAACCTTCTGGACAGTTCATTACAGAACACTTACCTGTGTTTTCAGAGGATGTTCGATGCAACTGTGTTGTTTGCTATCATGAGGGGAGAGGTCAGCTGAGGGTGGCCTCATATTGTGATGCCCCTCAGTGTCAGGTGTTCCTACATATAACTAGTGCTAGGAATTGCTTCAGGGTGTGGCACAGCAAAGACTATCACCATGACTAGTTTTATATCTGATTCAGTTTCCCCACATTGTGCCATAAGAAACCGTGTATCAATTGGCTGTATAATTTTATGAACTAAAATGTTTACCTCCTTTTGCCTTTTTGCATTGCAGGTTTGTTTGCCTAAGAAACACTAAGGAAAACCGTTAGCAATGTTGAAAATGAAGTGTATTGTTCTACATATCTTATTGCTTTAGTGAATAAAGGTGTATTTGTTTTGTACAAATAGGGTATTAGCATAAGCATGTACAATAATATTTACTGCCACATGCTACTCATGACCCGTACGTATTATTACTAGTATTAGTAATTAGTATTATTAAGGGCAGGAGACTGGCTTTATTGTATTAAAAAAGGCCCAAGAAAGAATAAATTCTGCATTAATACAATTTTGTAATTAAAATTGCATTAAAGGATGGCCAGGAAACATGTTTCGGCCAGTTTTGCACGGCCAAAACCATATCACAAAAAAATGTCATATCTCATTGAAAATTGAGAATTTTGTCTCCAAACTTGGTGTGCTTTTTCTTGATGAAATTATCAAACTTTTTTTGTAAAAGAAATTTATCCAGCTCTGTATACCCTGGAAACTAGGGGAGTTTTAAGGAAAAAATCACTGCCTTAAGAGTTAATTTATGATAATTTATTCATAAATGATTCTCTTTTTCTGGTTGAAAAAGTAGATTATTTTAAAAGGAAATTCAATCAGCTTTAATTTGAGGTATTTTGCACTACATACCTCAAAATAGTTTTGAAAATATAAAATTGAACTTAAATCCTGCCATTTTACCCCCTTTTTTGCAAGAACAGGAAAGAGTTAAAGGGACTCTGAGGTGCCAGACATATCATAGCTTAAAATGTACATCAAACCCTGTTGATTTTGAAAATTGAAATGAAAATTCCATGAAATGCGTTTTTAGGGTGATATCGTCCGTCAAAGTTGCGAAATGACTTAAGCTAGGCTCCCTGTGGAATATCACGGAATATCATCGCCACTTCTTCTAGCTCACTTTCCTCACTCACTCTTTCATAGGGTGTATTATAATCTGACCTAAGCAATTTCCGGCTCAAATTGATAAAGAACAGCCATACTTCCAACATGTTCCACTATCTGACGTCATCACAACCCAAGTATCCCAAGCCATCAAATCCGTGGCCGATATCACCCCAAAAAACGCATTTCATGGAATTTTCATTTCGATTTTCAAAATCAACAAGGTTTAATGTACATTTTAAGCTATAATGTGTCTGGCACCTCGGAGTCCCTTTAACAACAACTAATARATTCTTTTGTTCAATGAAGAACTTTTCTGACAAATAAAAAGTTTTAGTTACAAAGAAGAAATCTAGTTGAGTTTTTCAGAGTTATTTTGGCTTGCTTCGTAGCAAAGTAGCAATTGGACTCTTGGCATTGTGTGACAACAAACAAATCGAAAGCTATGAGAAACGAAGGCTTATTTTTATCCCCGCTTTTGCTTGATGACTAAAAGTATGATTTCAAAATAAAAGGGTTTATGTCAAGGAAGAATTTTGGCTACGAAACAAGCAATCTAGTGGAGTTTTTTTAAGAGTTTTTTTTAGCTTCGTAGTAAAGTAGCGAATGGACTCCCGGCGTGAGGTGTTGCAATTAACAAACAAATTGGACTCAGTGTTGTGTAAATTATTTTAGATATGTATTCGCTGACATTTTTAGACATGGTTTTAGTGGCGTCCCCAAGCTGACTGACCTATACAATGTAACTGTTGTAGCTATAACAAAAGTATATTACACCTTTCACCTCCCTGGATTTGCTAATTTTTTTTTAGAAACTGCCATTCTTTGTTCTGCTTTGTTTTCTTTATAATTAATTTAGCCAATAATATTTGCCTCAATGAAATTTTTGATCTGTCCAAGTGGTATAAATAACTGCAAATAAATCATTCTATCACTTCACAAACAGTGATCGATTTGAGTATTTATGATAAGAGCCATTTTTCAACGATACAAGTATGTCCAGTCCAAACTGTATCATTTGCCAGACCCCTATTAATGACCTTGATAAAGCATGGTTTCTTGGATGGTTACCGGTCAGGAGTTGTTGGGAACACCAAGCGTGTGAAGTCGGCTACCGCTTTCCATTCTCTGATTATGTATAGGAAGATGAAAGCCCTTCACACTACTCAGAGATGTATGGCCATGGTTCGTAAGAAGGTAGGTATCTTATACTATGCTATACTATGCTACAGTATGCCATGCCATGCTATGTTACGCTATGCTATGTCATGCTATTCTGTTATGTTATGCTATTCTATGTCATCTTATGTTATGCTAACATGACATTCTCTTTCCACCAGATACCCCTGACAAAGTGAGGATTTTAAATATGGGACTCTCGGACAGTGAAATGTCTGGTGAGAATAATTATTGCTGTTATGTTTATGTGTAATATTATATTAACACTATAATCTATCTAATATAATTTTCTTTTGTTATCTTAATATGATATATAATTTGAAATATTAATTATGCTTTCATTTTGTCTCTTGGTGCAGATAAGGTTGCAGACATTACTCCATCATCGTCATCCATCCTAACTGATGTAGATGAAGTCACAGTTATTAATGCTCCACTTACATCATCCCCCAAGAAAAAGTCTGTGAATGGTAAGTTATTGGATGAAGAGAGTTCCCTAAATATTTTTTTCACATTTTAATCATTTTTTATTTCTCTTGATGCAGTTGAAGTTCCAGCCACTCTTAGTTGATCTCCAATCCAAAATTCTTTTAATGGTAAGTTATTATTATGTGATATTATAGGCTTCTTATACAAAAAGTATATCTGTACAGGTTTTATGCCAGCATTGCTATAGTTACAGATCTTATAAATCATTCCACTGTGTTTCTTTTTGTTATTGCAGACCTTTCAGATCAAGAATTAGAGCTGTCAATCGAATATCCAGTTCCCAATACCATGGAAATTGATAACATGATGACTTTCAACATCATAAGGGCTGGGACGAAGCTTGGTAAAGCCAAACTAAGGGAGTTAACGACTACCTTGGAAGTACTTGGATATTTAGCCAGACCTGGCCACCACCAACATGGTCTGTATGCAACGAGGCCATCCACAGCAACAATGACATAGAAGGTAATTATTAAAATGGTAAATAATAATAAAAATAAACTGTTTATTTACATATAAATCCTGACATAGATATAATATATATGTACGTGCTAACAAATTATATTACGTTCTTATATGGTGTTGGCATTGATTTATGTGGTATCGTTTATTCTTTTGAATTAGGTTGGCACAATGCAATCAACCGACGTGCATCAGGAAAGACATCCCTACCCCTATAACAGCTCATCAACCTCCTTCACCAAGAGGCCCTCCTTGTAAATTTGCAAGTCAGGTTGGTTGGTGAGAAAAAACTGAAGAGACTGCAATGGAAGAAGTAAAGGCAGCTTCAGGGAAAAGTGCATGCTGAGTGGATGGCCTACGGAAATGGAGAGAAGACTGCCTGACAGCTACTTTTTAAAAGGCCTGTTCCCGACTCAATGGACCAGTTGACAGAAATCAGTGAACTCCTCTTATTTTTCTTTTTATTAAAGTCGTAAATAGATGTTCAATATTTTAAGTAATATTTGAAGTTTTTTTTTCATATTGTATTATATAAATGTAAACAGCTTATTTTTGCAAATCATAAATCATTAATGTATTGATGGTTTTAAACCATTCCCAAGAGAATTAAATAACAAAAGACACGGTGGCCATGTTGGAGAATATAACAAAAGAATTCATTAACGATTCTTTTGTTAAGTTCCTCCAACGTGGCCGCCGTGAAAACCATTGATTTATCTCACTAGTTCTACATGTTATATTTAATACAAGGCTCGTAATTTACCTATTTCTGTTCTTATGGGTCTACATGTTATATGTTATGCAATAAATTGGTTATAGTAATAAAATGTTATAGCTGTTTTCAGTAGTTGAAATGAAATTTTCAAATTGAAATAACTCATTCTTATTCACAACCGCAAAAAGCTGACAAAAGAGAGATGAATTGTATTTACGATTTCTTGGCGCAACGCACATCATTGTTTGTTGTCACACAATGCCTCACACCAGGAGTCCATTCACTACTTTACTACGAAGCTAAAAAACTCTAACAAACTCCACTAGATTGCTTGTATCGTAGCTAAAGTTCTTCCTTTATTTTGAAGTCAAACCTTTAGTCATGGAGCAAAAGCGGTGATAAAAATAAGCCTAATTTTTGGCACTTAATTTAATTAGTTCATTGATCATTATTTAATTAGTTCATTGATCATTTCATGGGTATATAATATTACATTTTTATCGTTTGTCTATATATTTGGCTATGTACAAATTACCATAGATGGAAGCTTGGGAGTACCATTCACAATTTCTCCTTCACTGCTTTATGTTGAAGAAAAGCAAACAGAAATAATTTTGAAATAGCTCTCGTACACGTGTCGATGCCACCCGGGGTAGTGGAAGAAAATTTAATATTGATTGCAATTTTCGATTGATATCAATTGAAAAGCTAAACACAGAAGTTTAAACTTGATATGTCATGAAAGCCCTGTACAATGAAACGTCTACCAGTATTTCAAAACTTTAGTGTCAACATTAGGAAATTTTTTTGTCAATTACTAAAAAAAAAACTGTTATGGATGTAGCCCACCATCTAACTGTAAGACAACAATTTTATGTTAATTTCATACAGAATTTCCTGTATTTAACACTTTTTTTACTAGGAAACAGCCCCAAAATATTTTCAAGATATTCAAATATCAGCTTGTGAGATGGATCTACTTTCAAATTAAAAGCATAGTATGCCCCTAAGAGGACAATAAGGGCTTTAACATTACTTATTGGTGATGAAACTTCTAGGAAGATTTTTTTTCTCAATTACTAAAAAAATCTGACATGGATGTAGATGATAAGATGATACCATCTTCACTGCAAAACCACAATATTGGATGTGTCGTGATACTTTTCTTTTTCACTAAGTCATCAATGTTTCTAGTATCCTGTAAATAATAAAACTTTGCTGTAACATTTGGAACATATGGGAGCATTTTCCTTTATGTCACTTTCCAA